GCTGACATGTGGGGTTGTTAACCAATGTCATAAAACAATATGTGTACTACTGTTTCATGAGAAACTATTTGTTCTGTAAGCCTTCACCTGAAGTACAATTGAAAAAAAAAGAATAAAGGGTACAGCAGCCCAGGGGCAAGGACTAGAAGGCAGGAGGGGCCAGGAAAACTAGTAATAGGGAACCCAAGGTCAAGAAGGGAGAGTACTGACATGTCATGGGGTTGTTAACTGATGTCATAAAACAATATATGTACTAGCTGTTTAATGAGAAGCTAGTTCGTTCTGTAAACCTTCATCTAAAGTACAATTAAAAAGAAAAAAAAGAATGGAGGATTTGAACTGCCGACCTTTTGGTTAACATCCAAGCTCTTAACCACTGTGCAACCAGGGCTCCATTAAAGAGATTAACAAAAAAAAAAAAAAGATGAATGACTTAATCTTCATACTTAAGGACTACATTGCACCTTTAGTTTGGTCAATCTGAAATGGTCATGACAATGAAGTCAGTTAATAATGTTAGTAATAGAAAGCCAAATCCCTTTAAAAATCACTTTTTTGACTGACCTCCTACTCTACTTTCACACTTAAATATGCATTTTTTAAAAAAAAAAAGGTTATACAACTTTATTTGTGCTCAGATAAATAAAAAGCAAACTTCAATGCAGTAGCACAATTCAACTACAGAACGGCGAAAATGAAAATGATGGACAATATCTAGTATTGATGAGGATGTGGAACAACCATAACTCTCACACATTGACAGTGGAAGTGGGAATTAGCATCCCACCTTGGAAAACTGTATGGCAATACCTAATATAGCTGGACGTATACATCCCATGACTCAAAAGTCCATTCTTAGCTTTATACTGAAGAGAAATAAGTGAATATCCAACTTAAGACACGTAAAAAAATATTAACAGTTGCATTATTTGCAATAGCATAAAACTGGCAACTCAAAATTTCTATCAAATCATTAAAACAGGAATCGACTCACATTTTCTTGGACTCGGATGGTGCAGTTGTTAGAGTGCTCAACTCCTAACCGAAAGGTCGGTGGTTCGTAAACATCAACAGCTCTGCAGGAGAAGGATGTCTGCTTCAGTAGTTTTACAGCCTTGGAAACTCTATGGGATCACTATGAGTCCGATATTGCCCTTGTATTGACAAAACAGCCACAGGCAACAATACATAAATGAATGAGGGTATCGTGTTGCAATGAAACTTCATAGATCATAGTTTGCCTACCTGCACTGGATTAGATAAATAACATACCGTATGTTTGCACATTAGAATACTGCCCAGCGATGAGAATGAATGAACTACTGCCAATCACAACAACATGGAGAAATCTCACAAACATATTGCTGAGCAAAAGAAACCAGAAATAAAAGTGTAAACACTGTATGACTTCACTTCTAAATAGTTCAAAACATGCCAAACAAATGTATTATATTGGACATCAATTTGTTATGGGGCCCATGGACAGTCTCCAAAGAGTTGATAATGTTCTTGTTTTTAGTCTGTGTTCTGGCCTCAGGGATGTTTTTAAAAATCCATTTGCTGTACAATTTATTACTTGAGAATTTTCTATAAGGTGTATTATACCTTAGAAAGTATTACATAGTCTACTCATTATGAGATTGTAAGCAACAGAATATCCATTATTTTTTATATCTCCAGTAATTTATTGCACACAATAAGCATTCACCTTATGTTTGTAAAATAATCACACAATTTTCATATATTATTTCAGTAAATAATTACCCTTTATGTTACTAAAAATGTGCTGCCTTGATAAGAACAGTGATATTCTTATAAACTCACAGGCTCTGCTAGTCTTGTTTCCAGCTCCATGGAGACTGAGAGACTCTGGTTCACTTTTGGGCCAGTATCATGCACTGAACTTATTTCATTTAGCCATGCTTCAGTGCCAGACAACTGTTCTCTGAAGTTAGAAGTGTATAAGTAGACAGTTGCTTACATAGTGTATTAAGAGTACCCGTGACACCAGGGAGGCTGCTTAGATACAGCTTTAAACTCCACTCAATTATTTTTTTTTTTCATGAAGAATTGTTTATATACCAAATGGTTATTACCATAGGATAGATTATGTAATTCAGTGTATATAAATAAAAAGGAATACAAGATTATTCATAATATGTATTTACATCCAAGGTGGGTTCATTCTGAAGTCATTTTTATTTAGTATTTTTTTTGTGGAAATCTGGTAGATTATACAACAAAACATGGTTATCCCTAGGTAGTGAGATTTGGGTTAGTTTTTTCTGTCTTTAAACAATTCTTTATTTTGTGCATGTGTTTAAAGGGAGAGTGCTGGTGTGGGGGGTGTGTGTGTGTTTATGCAGTGTGTGGGTGTGTGCAAGCTTGTAGTGTATATTATGAAGTTAAAACATAATCCTTATATAGGGAGTGATGAGTCAGAAATAATGAACGATGGTTGACTAATTATTATTTTATCAGATATAATATTGGACATTAAAGTACATAGGAAGAAAACAATAATGGAGAATAAGTTAGGACTGATTTTTTAATCACCCTATCTGTATGAAATAACAGGTGATAAACCATGTAATTATATCAGTCACTTATTCCTAAGAGACCCAGGGACAGACACAGAAATAGTTATATAATCTAGGTCATCAAAAGACAACGCTGAAGGTCCACGCAGAGAGAGGTGCATCTAAGAAATAAGTCACTAGCTCTAGATCAGGTACTAGTATTTTTTGTTGTTGTTGTTTGTTTTTTATTAAATTTTCATATTTCTTTATATTTCTTTTTCCTCTTTCCACTAAAATTATTTTATAAAACCAGAGGAGGGTATGGCTGTTTACATAAGCTTTTATATTAATTAAATATATTAATATCCATAGAGAGCAAAGCATACAACAAAATGCAAGTAGTAATTGGATAGAATTGTTTTTATCATTACTATTACTTATAATCTCTTAATTAAATTTTATGTAGTTTAAAAATGTTCTCTCCTTGTAAAGGAAAACATTTTAAAGACATGTCTAAAGGGACAGATATTTAAATGAGTTCAAGCCAAGGTTTTGGAGCCCTGCACTTTGATCACTAGATCATTATTCAGATATCATCCCGTTCCCTTCTCCCCCTCCCCTTTTATTTTTCTTCATCTACTTTCATTCCACTTTTCCTATACTCCCACAGAGCAGAATGTACATAAAGGATATGATATATGATATAATAGATTTTGGTTAAACATAACAGTAGGACGTAGAATTCAACTGACCACTCAATTTCCACAACCTCTTTTGAACAACGGCGGGCAGATTTCAGAAGTATTGAAGAGAAAGAGCAACACAATATTATACTTCTGGAAATTGGGATGGGGAGCTCAAATCAGACAGGACTCTGAGGTTATGGGAGTTGATTGGACATGTATTATCATCATGGGTCTTACACGTCTAATCTGTTTATGAAGAAAGGCCATCAGTTCTTGTAGACTAGTGCAGAGGGACCACACAGGAAACCATACTTCTTTTTCAGGCTTCCCTGTCACTTGTGCTAGTAGCACCCCTATGATTAGTTTCAAATTGTTCTTTGTATCTTCCCTGAGCAACAGAAATTTGCAGAAGGGAGACCTGGCGTATCTGTCTGTCTATTCACTTCAGCCTGTGGCCCATGGAGAGCCCAGGTTGTGGAGTGGTTAAGAGCTATGGCAGCTAACCGAAAGGTCGGTAATATGAATCCACCAGCTGCTCCTTGGAAAGCCTATGGGACAGTCCTACTCTGTCCTATAGTGTACCTATAAGTCGAAATCAACTTGACGGCATTGGGTTTGGTTTTTGTTTTGTCTTTTTTTCTTGCTCATGAAGACTTTTCAACCCTCTTTTCTAGAAACACCACCTATTCTGCCCTAGCAGATCCTGAATCACAGACTGTGTCCATCCCAGGGACAATGGGATGCAGTCTTGTTTGTTGAGTCTGGATAGGACCTGAGGGGTTAATGGGATAAAAAGAGGATCGTTTTATCCAAGAACCTACTATAGCTCTATCTGGTCTACAATCTGTGATGATCTGAGGGAAAAAATAAAAGACTATATTCAATACCTGAATTGCTCACTTAAATATGCTTCTCTATTACAGGCTCAAACTACAAAATCGGGGGGAAAAAGAACTTCTTATCAGATGATATGGATTATCTGGGCCAACTAATTATAAGAATCATGACCTTAAACTCTCAAATTATCAATTTCTTAATCTATAAAACAAAAATAATAAGAATTATCATGACTACTATATAAGTGTGTGTGGAAATAACATGATTTAACTTGGATGAAAGTGTACTGCAAACTCTGTACAAAACCAAACCAAACCTTTGCTATTGAGTCAATCTGACTCACGGCGACCCCAAGTGCTACAGAGTAGAACTGTGTTTCATAGGGTTTTCTTGGTTGTAAACTTATTGGAAGCAGTTTGCCAGGCCTTTCTCACAAGGTACCAACCTTTAAGTTAGTAGAGTAGCCCTTACCCTTTTGTGCCACCCAAGGTCCTTGCAAACTCTGCACAGAGCTATAAAAATGTAAAAGATATTATTGCCATTATTATCTGGTAGATTTGTATTTCAATAGATACATTTCCAGGTGAATCTCTTCAAATAATCCTAGCATTCTTACTTTATTTGTTTTTAATTACAAAAAATGAGAAAGGACCTGGGGTTAAACTATGAAGACAGTAAAATGATGCTAACCTTTCACTTCCATTTCCTTCTTTTAGGGATTTCATAGATCTAAGCAATGGAAGCTGAAAACCACACTTTATTTACCGACTTTATATTCTTAGGGTTTTCTGACAGAAAGAATGTGCAGCAGGGGCTCTTTGTGCTCTTTCTCCTGGTTTATGGCATAACTGTGATTGCAAATCTAGGGATGATCCTACTGATCAAGATAAACCCCAGACTTCATATACCCATGTATTATTTCCTAAGCAATCTGTCGTACTGTGATGTCTGCTACTCCTCCACTGTCTCTCCCAAGATGCTGGCTGATTTCTTATCTGAACAAAAGAGGATTCCATATAACTTATGTGCCATTCAGATGTATTTTTTTGGAGCTTTTGCCGATGTGGAATGCCTCATATTAGCTGCAATGGCCTATGACCGTTATGTAGCCATTTGCAATCCACTTCTGTATACAATTGTCATGTCTAGGCAGGTCTGTGCCCAGCTAGTGGCTGGTGCTTACATTGTGGGGTTGGTGGATTCAGCAATCCACACTTGCTGCACATTTCAACTGTCCTTCTGCAAGTCCAATGTTATCAATCACTTCTTCTGTGACATTCCACCCTTGCTATCCCTCTCCTGCTCAGATACATCCATCAATGAGATAGTGATGTTCACTTTTATCGGCTGTGTTATAGGGTGCAGCATCGTAACCATTCTTCTCTCCTATAGCTATATCATAACTACCATCCTAAGAATGAACTCAGCTGAGGGGAGACACAAAGCCTTTTCCACTTGTGCCTCCCACTTAACTGCTGTGGCTATATTCCATGGTACACTCCTGTTCATGTATTTCCGACCAAGCTCGAGTTACTCAATGGACACTGACAAAATGGCGTCTGTGTTCTACACAGTTGTGATCCCTGTGTTAAACCCACTGATCTACAGTCTGAGGAATAAGGATGTGAAAGGTGCTCTGAAAAAAACCATCAGCACTAAATTATGTTCTAGGTGAAACCGCATTTTCCACATAAAAGTATTTGTGTAAAGATTCTTAACACTAAAGTTGAAGGACTTTGACATAAGTGCCTGCAGTTTCACCAATACAGTCTTGTGGATAGTTTTTGTTAGTAATCTTTGTGCCTAAGCTGAGTATTTAAAAAAAAACCACCGCCGTTGAGTGGATTCTGACTTGTAGCGACCTCATAGAGTTTCCAAGGCTGTAAGTCTCTATGGAAGCAGACTGATACATCTTTCTTATGCGGAGTAGCTGGTGGTTTTGGATCTGCGACCTTTCAGTTAGCAGTCAATGGCTTTAACCACTGCACCCCCAGGGCTCCAGCTGTGTATAGGGAGCCTTTATTATTGGTCTTATTCTTCTCTCCAAAGTAAGAAATAGTAGCAATGGGTTAATTTTGCTATTATGTAGAAAAGATTCCTCTATTCTGTGTCCCTGAGTACGTCTGAATGTGATATCACAGGTTATAGCAGCATAGCCTCTAACACCAGTTCAACATACCCTCATTAAGAGTCAATTTTTAAAAAAATGGGTTTAATAAACATAAGGAGTCCTGTTGGCACAGTGCTTAAAGCCATCGACTGCTAACCAGAAGTTCAGCCATTCAAAACAACCAGTGTCTTCACTGGAGAAAGATGTGGAGTCTGCTTCCACAGAGATTTATAGCCTCAGAAACCCTATGGGGTTGCTAGGAGCCAGATTCAACTACAGGGCAGTGGATTTGGGCTAATAAATACAGTTGCTCAACCAGAAACGAGTTTTCATGAACTGAACTTAGTCTTGTTTGTATCCTTCCAATGTACTAGCATGGCCCCTTGAAATGTTGCATCATAACACATAGACATAAATAAACAGTATGGCTGAATCTTCTGCACTAGATTTAAAGTTTCATAAAGGCAAGTTCCTTCTGTCTTGGTCACCATTATTTCTGCTTAGGTATTCACAATACTAGGCTCCAAAATGTCAATCAAAAATATCTAGTGGATAAATAAATGAGTGGCCTCCCTGCAAAAATGATACAAATAGTGTTCTTTATATATTTACCAATATAACATCTATCCTTTAATTTTATTTTGGTACATTCATTTTACTTGAAATATGTCTGCATCTTTTATCATTCGGCCTTGTCTAAAATAAAAAATCAGGGACAGGGCTCATTTGATGTAAAAAACTTTCAGGCCCTCCATTCCTCATTGCTGTTGTGATTGCTAGTTGCCATCGAGTTGATTCTAACTCACGGTGACCCTGTATGTGCAGAGTAGAACTGCTACATAGGATTTTCAAAGCCATGACCTTTTGGAAGCAGATCATCAGCCTGCCTTCCAAGGTACCTCTGAGTGGATTCAAACTGCCAGCCTTTCAGTTAATAGTTGAGAGCTTAACCATTTGTGCCACCCAGGAATCTTCCATTCCTCATTAACCTGCTGCAGTATCAGCAGATGTCCCCAGAATCAGTGGTTCATGGTTTACATTGTCCCTCCCAGTATGAGACTCAACCTGTGAGTTTCCTTTCTTGCTCTCACTCTGGAGATTAGATGTGATGATGTGGTGCTATTGACAGTTGTATATCAAGTTAAAGAATGGAAGTTGAGTATGAAGGACCTGGACCTTCTCCAAAGGCCACTACAAAACGGTACTCTGTCTCCCTTGATGTGCTCATGGCATTATACTAGTCAAAATATAAACAACTGAAATGCCCAATGTACAGTTAAAGTTGCAAAAGAAGAATTATTAACATGAAAATATGTTTAGTGGGGAAAATTAAAAAAATAAAGGTTAAGGTTGTATTTAGATTAGTATTCCATTTATAATGATTTAAATTGTCTTTCTGTGTATCTGTGAAATAAACTGAAACCTATTTTCAGAAAAATTTAATAGTGGTTTTAAAAGTGATGTTGAGGCGTAGTCTGAACTCTTCTCACTTCACGAGGGCGAAGGAGAATCAAGATCAACAGCCCAAGGCTGATTCCTATGAGGTGGAGCTCAGGTATGCCTCTTCTCTCACCATTTTCACTAAATCTGACACCAACTTTCCCTTGCACAGCAGTCTCTACTTCTCTGCTGGGTTCAATAATTCATTGCAATGACCACACGAACTCACAGACAGTACTCACAATTATGAGGTTTATTAGGGAAGCAACAGGTTACAGTTCAGGCTCAGGAACATTCAAGGATACAGTGCTTCCCATCAGGGCAGCTTCTTCCCAGCTGTGCTCACAGGCACGCCTCTCCCTAGCCCTAGGCCTCTGCCCGAAGTCACTCAGCTTTCTCTCTTGGTAGGTGGGGAAGCCCAGCTTGCCATCTGCTGCTGCCAGGTCTCTGTTGCAGGGTCTCTTCTGCCATCACATCTCAGCATCTTCAGGGTTACATCTCACTCTCTCTCAGTCTTCTGCTTCCAAGAGCTTCTCAGTGCAGGGATCCCGGGTCCAAAGGACTTGCTGGCTCCTGGCTGTTCTTCCTTGGTGGTGATGGGATTTTCTCTTCCCTGCCTCTAGGGTGGCTTATTTCAAACCCAGAGGGATAGCTAAACTGACCAATCCTTTTGGTGGGCTACAATTACCATATCTGCATAGTCCAACCCAATCACTTGGGTAGGAGTTACAAGACCATGATTAGAAAGACCACACAAAAGTGATCCATCACATCTCAGTGGTCATCTCTGAGTGATTGAAAGATAACATGTAATATAATTTTCTTTTCTTTTACATATCAGTATACTTGAAAAAATCTGTAATACGTATGTATTCCATTAAGAATAAGAAAAATAAAAAAACTTGTTTTACAATACTAGTTTATGTATGGACATTATTTATGAGTATGCACACACGTGTTGTGTGACCATGTGTAGATATGTAAGCCTGTATAATTGACATATTTACAAATTCATTAAAATTAATTTATTCCAAATAAAGTCTTTCTTGTAATTTGTTAACAATTTACTTCGTGGAATGGATTTCTTAATTATACAATTATAAATTGTTTTGGAATAATCCTATTGTCTTTTCGAATGACTTAATTAATTGCATATGCTATTCTCACTATAATCAATTATCAATTAATCGAGTTATGAAAAACATAACACAATTTTAGGTGCCCAGGGTTACTTATTTTATTTTAGATTGTTGTTATGAAAGAAACATGGAGGCATTTTCCTCCGTATCTGAGAATACAGAGTAATAATTTACATGAAGTCTTTCATTTAGACCTTCTTCCCGAATTTTATACATTTCTTTAGTGTATAAAATGAGCTGAGTGTTATTTACTTACATGTTATTTTAGTGCTATTTGTTTTGCATTACTTATTAAACAGGTTTTGAAAACAAAATTATTTGATTATCTTTTAAATACGTGTTTTCCTCTGTAATCTCAAATACTTTAACTGGTGTTCATAGAATAGTTTATATTATTTATCAGGGCATCCCAATCATTGTCCAAACCCTTCCCAAATTCAACATTTTCTATTAGAATAATGTATTAATTAACTATATCCTCATCTATGAAAATTAAACCTACTCATGTTATTGAAAAGTGGTTTTCATGACCATCTTTCATAGATGTGTATAAGGAAAAAAAATCTCTATTATTATTATTATTTACCCTTTCCATTAAAGACACTGATTTAATAGTCTTTACAGATGGGCTGAAAACCAGAATTTTTTGAAGTTTGTTTGATTGCTTTTGTTTTAAGAAAACTATCAAGATGAGAGTTTAAGAACTTGAACTTTGAAGTAAGATAGACCTGGCAGTTCATAAACTACCGTTTACTTGTTAGCTCTTTGACCTTCCTCTGGTTACTTGTTAGGCCTCAGTTTCTTCACCGTATAAAGCAAAGTAGAACTGCCCCATAGGGTTTCCAAGGAGTGCCTGGTGGATTCAAACTGCCAACTTTTTGGTTAGCAGCCATAGCTGTTAACCACTACCCCACCAGAGATTCCTTTCACCTGCTTAGCAGGCATTAAAAACAATATATATCACTTTTATAAGGGTGCCTGACATTATTAAAAGGCTTGAAAATGCTAATCTTTATTACAGAAACAAGTATTTATTTTTAAAGAGAGTTCATACAACTACTTGAGTTTGATCAAGAAAGTTCCTAAGATGATATAGAGGCCCTAAATAACTAACTCCTTACCCAGGGACTGAACCTTGTTGTGACTGAACCCTGGGTGGGCAAGGGGGTGGGGGAGAAAGTATTATTCATGGCATTATCTCAAAAACCAAAGTCTCTAAGCCCCAACTTTCTACCCTCTTTAGAACCTGCTCACCTAGTGTGAGAGACCCCTGTTGTACATCCTAACCTCAAAACTTCCATGCCAGCCACCTTAAAACATGTTCTTCCTAAACCTGCCTTCACTCCTGGTTAGAGCTTAGTAGAGGTTTCTTCGTGGTTATCAATTTTAGTCACAACATTCCCATGTCTATTCCCATGGCCGACTACCAGGAACCATACTCCTGATATAAGGCCCACACCTCATACTCCCAAGAAGTAAGTTTAGATAATTAATGTCAGAATACTTGATTTTACATTGTCCTATATGACCCTATCTCCAGGGCCGTGGCCAAATGGGCACACTTAGCTGCAACTGGATCAGTAGCTACTAATTATGACTGAACCATGCCTTTCAGACAGCATTACCCGATCAGTATTTAGAAAGAAGCACTTGATTCTTATCAGCCTCAAACCACAATGCACAAAAATCTTCTCTGTTAAAAGCATACAATGGCCAGAGCCCTGTCCCACCAGTATTCTACATGGACAAACCCCTTCTTGTGAAAATAGATCCCACCTCAGTGAATCAAACTGTGGTATAGATTTAGAACTCAACATATATTTTCACTGTCAGAAGGCTTCGCTTCTCTTGGTCATTCTCTCTCCTACGCCTCAGTCTCACCTTTGGGTATAGCACTTTCTTGAGATTTTACAGCCTTCTCCATGGATTATACCCCAGCTGCAGACCATGCCATCTTCCCACCATTAGTGGGCTCCAGGTCTCATCCCTGTCTGCCAGAGCCCAACTTCCCTCAGATCTTTCAGCTGTTGCTTACCAATGTAGATTCCAGACTACATTGTTGTGATGAAATATGCTATGAATTGGATTTTAGTCTTTTTTTTTTAAACCCACCATACTCAGAAACATCTTTTAATACTTATTTGTGTATATAGTGCCACTCTAGATAATAAGCCAAAAATAGTAGGAAAAAATAGTTTCTGCCCACTAGAGACATATATTCAATATTAAAAACAATCAACAGTAAAATCAATTAGGTTTTTTTTTTTCATAAAAATTCATTCAGTAACTAAACTGGAAAAGATACTGTGGTAAGAGCAAGGGATCAAATAATGAGTAAGGAATTAATGAGTAAGTCTAATAGAGTTATAGAACACAGTCACATATAGCTTCAGGGTAATATAGAAATTGTTGAAAGTGTTAAAAGAAGCACACGTAAGATTGGAGTGGCATTCAGATTGTAAGTTATCAATAACTGAAGGGGGATTCAGAAAAAAAGCATGTAAGAGTTAAATTAAAGCAGGACTTTTTAAAAATGTGCAAAATTTGAACAGCTAAGGTACCATGTGCACATATTTACATGGGGATAAAAATTAACTGAAAAAGTGTCTCAGTGAATTGTATTTATTTATGTTCATGAAAGAGTGAGTTATAGCACGTCATTGGCTTAATGGATGTTGGAAGTAATCATGGTGTAAGGTTAGAATGGGAAGAGAAAAGGAGTAAGGATAAGGAATATAGGAGATGAAATGAAGGGTAAATCTTCTCCAGAAATAAATATTACAAATGTCAACTTTAAACTGGTAAAGACAGACATAATATAAGTCATGTGAGAGGGCCAGTTCTGATGCTAAGTCTTGACCCCATTCTGTGGCCGAGGGCTCATTACCTGCAAATTTGGAGAACATCCATATTAAACTTACTTCTACAACATTCTAACCATAGGCCAAGAAACAGGTATTGTTAAAAGGTTTTCCATCCTTTCCTAAGAAAGTAATTTTCAACCGATCATTTTTCTAAAGGCATTTTTGACATCTTTGTTTCTTAAACTGTAAATCAGGGGATTCAACATAGGTATAATCAATGTATAGAACACAGAGGTCACTTTGTCTATATCCAGTGAATGACCTGCACCAGGGCGCAAATAAATGAAGATCAAGGTACCGTGGTAGATAGTGACAACAATCAGGTGGGAAGCACAAGTGAGGAATCCTTTCTTTCTTCCATCAGCAGAACTTATCTTGAGGAGAGCTGCTATGATGAAGACATATGAGAGAAGAACTGTTAGAAGACAGAACGCTTCAAACAAACTAGCAAAGACAACCAGAATTATGTCATGCATATAGGTGTCAGTGCAGGACAGTGAAAATAGTGGGGAGACATCACAAAAGAAATGGTTAATTTCTCTGGAGCAGAAAGTGAGATGGAAGGTGTTAGTGGTGTGAATAATGGAGCTCACCGTGCCCCCCAAAAATGATCCCACTGCAAGCTGGCAACAAATTCTCTTGGACATAATAATGGTATAAAGCAGTGGGTTGCAGATTGCTATGTACCGGTCATAAGCCATGGCAGCCAAGAGGAAAGATTCTGTATCAACCAAAGAAATGAAAAAATAGAACTGTGAAGCACACCCATTGTAAGAAATTGTCTTCTTATCAGAAACCAAGTCCACAAGTAATTTGGGAGCAATAACAGAAGAGTAACATGTATCTGTGAAGGACAATATGCACAGGAAAAAATACATAGGGGTGTGCAGGTGGGAACTGATTGTGATTAATAAAATCATCCCAAGGTTCCCCATAAGCGTCACAGAGTAGATGGAAAAGAACACAGCAAAAAGAAGTCTCTGAAGTTCTGGGTGGTCACTAAATCCCAGGAGGAAGAACTCAGTCTTTACTGTGCCATTCACTTTCTCCATCTGTTTGCAGTGTTTTGTGGTTTCTGGAGTAGTGAGAGAGTAACGATGACAAAGTTAATAATAACCCAGACATTGAAAGAAAAATAAAATTAAAGTGCCAAAGTAAATAGAACAATCATTCTAAAATCTACTGGTGCATCCTTATAGCATGTCTACGATGGAAAAGGTCAATATCATCAGTCAGAACAAGGCCGAGGCCAACTAAGGAACAGACTATCGATTGCTCATATGCAAGTTAATGTTGAAACTGAAGAAAATTAGAACAAGTCTACGAGAGCCAAAGTACAACTTTGAATATATCCCACTTGAATTTAGAAACCACCTCAAGAATAGATTTGACACGTTGAACACTAATGACCAAAGACCAGACGAGGTGTGGAATGACAGCAAGGAAATCATACATGAAGAAAGCATGAGATGATTAAAAAGACAAGAAAGAAAGAAAAGACCAAAATGGATGTCTGAAGAGTCTCTGAAACTTGTTCTTGAATGTCGAGTAGCTAAAGCAAGAGGAGGAAATGATGAAGTAAAATAACTGAACAGAAGATTTCAAAGGGCAGCACAAGAAGACAAAGTAAAGTATTAAAATGATACGTGCAAAGAGCTGGAGACAGAAAACCAAAAGGGAAGAACACACTCATCATTTCTCAAGCTGAAAGAACTGAAGAAAAAAGTCAAGACTTGAGTTGCTATAGTGAATAATTCTATGGGGAAAATATTAAATGATGCAGGAAGCATCAAAAGATGATGGAAGAAATACAAGAGTCATTATATCAAAAAGAATTGGTTGATGTTCAGCCATTTCAACAGGTAGCATATGATCAAGAACTGATGGTACTGAAGTAAGAAGTCCTAGCTGCACTGAAGGCACTGGCGAAATACAATCCTCCAGGAATTGATAGAATATCAATTGAGATGTTTCAACAAAGGGATGCAGCACTGGAAGTGCTCACTCGTCTATGCCAAGACATTTAGAAGACAGCTACATGGCCAATCTGCTGGAGGAGATCCACATTTATGCCTATTGCAAAGAAAGGTGATCCAACTGAATGAGGAAATTATCGAACAATATCATTAATATCACACACAAGTAAAATTTTGTTGCAGAGCATTCAAAAGCGGCTACAGAATTATATCAACAGGGAACTGCCGGAAATTCAGGCTAGATTTAAAAAATGACGTGGAAGCACGGATATCATTGCTGATGTCAGATGGAAACCTGGCTAAAAGCAGAGAATAACAGAAAGATGTTTACCTGTGTTTTATTGACTATGCAAAGGTATTCGACTGTGTGGATCATAACAAATTTTGGATAACATTGTGAAGAATGGGAATTCCGGATCACTTATTTGTGCTCATGAGAAACCTGTACAGAGGCGTGGCCAACAAGGAAGAGTAGTCAGACGCTTCCTATATCCCTCTTACAACAAAGACCTGGAAAAACAAGTGATTTAATTCCATGTGAAAATCTGGGAGCCCTGAACAAGGCAAGGTTAAGAAATAAGTCTGACTGATGTGGGAGAGGGAGACCGTTTGGAAGAGGTGACGAAGGCCAGAGCCGTGGAGGCGAAACTTCAGTACCACAGCCATGCCTGTCCGCAGTGAAGCAAGCAAACAGCTGTGCTGTGTGCGCGCTCGGGAAGCAGTTTTCACATTGAGAGAGACCCAGCAGCAGAGATTCTGCTTGAACACTCCAAACCAGTGAAGAGAAGCTCCCAAGAGGCTAAGTACATGCGTGCACACTTTCGTCGGGATTTAAAAAAAAAAAGCTCATTTGGGGAAAAACCTCTCTCCCTTTTACTTCCTCCCTCCACGCTCTGCACTGGGAGTCTGCTGGGCCAGAAGTAGATCCCAAAAGGCACCCTGACTCCTTCTACTGGCCTTGGAGAGGGAACAAATAAGCTGCTGGCTCCCCTAGGCCAGGAACACAGGATCATCACAGCTCCTTTGCTGGGCACAGGTATCAGGGGCCCACAGACTCCGAGTGCCTTACACCCCTGTATAGACTTATGGGGACCCATCTCAATAGCTTTAGTCCTCACTGCCACAGTACAACAGGGCAAACATCTGAAGTTTAACTTCAACTGCTTCAGCTCTGAACTGGCAGATTTGTGACCCTCAAAACAGCCCTGTCCCTTAAGTAGGCACTTTATTGATCTGCAGCAGGGGCTTCAGGACTAGTGGTAGCACCTAAAGTGCCTAGTCACCTGCTACAGGAGTCCAAGAAAAAGTGCCCTCGAGTCTTTACAGCCAACAGGGTGGGGTGTTCATATAGTCTGGCTGCAAAACTCACCTACCTACTCACCCTAGAGAAAAGGGACACGCTTTCCTTTCAGACTCTCAGGGGCAGCCGTCAGCCCCCCGCCCGGCTCAGCATGTGATCTCCTACCACAGCCAGAGTCCAGTGTCTGCACCAATCACCCATGCCTTTCTAGGACGGGGGGTGAGAGCCTGCATCACACACTTGGTGACTGACTGCCTGAACACCTGAGCTGAACCCATGTAGGAAAATTTAATGGACTCCTGTGTGCACATACTTAGTTACAGAACTAACTACCTGGGGACAGGATGTTAGAGATCCAAAGGTGTCAAAAATCAAACTAGTGAACTTTAGCAGCCTATTTGGGCATATCAAAACAAAATAAAATAAGAAGCTAGGTCTCACTAAGCAAATACAAAATAAAATTATAATAAATTATTAATGGCTCGGAGACAACAGTCAATATCAAGTCACATAAAGAGGCAGTCTATGATGGCTTCAGCAAGCTCCCAAAATAAAGAATCAATAAATTCTCTGGAGGAAGAGAACTTCTTGGAATTACCAGAGGCAGAATACAAAAGATTAATATACAGAACTCTTCTACAAATAAAAAGGAAAT